TTAAAGACTTTTTACAACATTTTTCGCAAATTGCATTCTCCTTGATGGGAAAGGCGGATCAAAGATTTTTCTGGGGAACCTATAAAATTCGTCCGGTCGTTCTTAAAGATTTGTGCAAAGCATTTTGAATAATATTTTTTCATCCACTTTCCGCCCGTGGAAAACTTAATTCGGCCCGTACTTACTCAAATTCTTTTTGAAAATATGTTTAAATTCCTTCGAATAAAGAACCATTTGTTGGAACGATTTCCACCCATGTTAGTCTCTTGGAAAGAAGCTTGAAATAAATTCTCACAAAAATGAGTTTTATACCGATAATAAGCAAAAGAGTTTGAAATTTTCCGCCAACTTTTCACAGAAAAACGTAAATTTAAACCAACTTCTCCCAAAAAATCATTGAATCTCATTTTCCATAGAGGATGCTTGGATACTCCAAAGTGTGTGAAACAGGTCTCAAATGATTTGTCGCAAAGATCTTTAGAAATGAATTTGAATGCGAAACGTCACCAAGCAAATTGTTGACTCCCATTTATACCGAGGAGGAATGGATTTTCCGAAAAGTGTGAAAATGAATTCGAACCAAGACCTTTTAAAATGAGTTTGAGCCCGAACGTATGGTAAATAAAAAAGTTTCAGATTGGTTTTTCCAGTGGCAAGTTTTTTGGTTTACATTTTAGATAATTTTTTTACTCATTTCCGGCCCATTGAAATTTTAAATTCATACTATTTGGAGTTATTTTAAGATATTTAAATAGATAATAGATACCTACAACTTTTGATATAGTTTTCAAGACTTGCTATTTCCAAAATTGATGAAATAGGTTCATAAAGTATATATATAGAGTTTTGGAAAAAAGTTTGACGCCAATCAGAGGAAGCTTAAATCCTTTGATCTATATTTTCCACCCAGTAGGGCTGCAATTTGGAAAAATGTAAACATTATCTAAATAAAATATTTATAAAGATCTTTACAAATGAGCTTACACCTGAAATAATTATTTATTTATTTATTTAATGGTCTACAAAACGAGTGTCAGCCTAATTATATAATACATAAGGTTATAAAAATTAAATGCTAAAAGCCTAATTAGAATAGAAATATTTCTAATAGCATCACCGACACGATGGAGGTATTTTCTTTGTCCGACCAGCTATGCCCATTTCCACAACTAATGTCTGTGACGTTATTAAAACCTACAGCAACAAAGGAAGGTGTTAGTACATCGCCCATTCAACCTTTCACCAATCAATTAGTCAGTCAGAACAAACATGTTTATAAATTAACAAGAGGTTCTAGTCGGGTGCTCCCGACTAGGGGATACCCTGAACCCTCTTGTTCCAACACCAAATGCAGCTCGCGCCACGACCTCGTTTGCTTTGGTAGTAATAAAGGTAAATTAAAAAAAAAAGTTCCCTCGGCAGGGTTCGAACTCGCAACTGACCGCATTATTTGCTGCCGCCTCAACAGCCACACCAGCCAAAAAAAATTATTTATCTATGAGATAGAAGCACGGAGGTGGTGATAGCTATAAAACGAGAAAGAAGTGCTATCTTCGGCACACCGAAGATTTAATACCCTTGCAGACCCAACCTTTTCAAAATGCTTATAGTGCTTTGCCCGTATCTAAGAAGCACAGGGAAAATAGTTAATGCCGAGTATGGTTAAGATATCATGAAAAACAAAACAGGTTTCCATACAACAACTTAATTTTCGACCGATCGTCCCTATGGCAGCTATATGATATAGTAGCCCGATGTGAATAAGATTTTGCATTAGTGGAGGGAGCATAGTAAAACTAATAAATGCCGAGTTTGGTCAAGATATCTTGACAAACAAAAAAAATTCCATACAACAGCATAATTTTCGACCGATCGTTCCTATGGCAGCTATATGATATAGTTGTCCGATCTTAATAGGATTTTGCATATATATGGGGAGCGTAGTAAAACTAATAAATACCGATTTTGGTCAAGATATCTTGAAACACATAAAAATTTTCCATACAAAAACTTAATTTTCGACCGATCTTTCCTATGGCAGCTATATGATATAGTTGTCCGATCTTAATAGGATTTTGCATATATATGGGGAGCGTAGTAAAACTAATAAGTACCGAGTTTGGTCAAGATATCTTGAAAAACATAAAAATTTTCCATACAAAAACTTAATTTTCGACCGATCGTTCCTATGGCAGCTATATGATATAGTTGTCCGATCTGAATAGGATTTTGCATATATATGGGGAGCTTAGTAAAACTAATAAGTACCGAGTTTGGTCAAGATATCTTGAAAAACATAACAATTTTCCATACAAAAACTTAATTTTCGACCGATCGTTCCTATGGCAGCTATATGATATAGTTGTCCGATCTTAATAGGATTTTGCATATATATGGGGAACGTAGTAAAACTAATAAATACCAAGTTTAGTAAAGATAACTTTATAAACAAAAATGTTTTTCAAACAAGAACCTACTTTTCGACCGATCGTTCCTATGGCAGCTATATGATATAGTGGTCCGATCCAGCTGGTTTTGACATATGAACTGCGTGCAACAGAAAGAGGGACTTCTGCAAAGATTCATAAAGATAGCTTTAAAACTGAGAGACTAGTTCGCATAGAAACAGACAGACGGACAGACGGACATGGCTATATCAACTCGGCTGTTGATACTGATCAAGAATATATATACTTTATGGAGTCGGAGATGTCTCCTTCTATGCGTTACACATATATACATATATACTATTCTAGAGGCTACATGTCTAGTTTGGTGACTCTAGCTCTTATTATTTACCAAAATTGCTCAAAAAACAGGATTTCGATATCGATTTTTATCGATTATCGAATATTGGAAACAAACTCGATCTGCGCGGGCACTAGGAGGACCTACGTTCCTTATTTCATATCGCTAGCTCCTATAGGTTCTGAGATCCTGGCGTTCATACCTACGCACGGACGGACAGACAGACGGACGTGGCTAGTTCAACTCGGCTATTGATGCTGATCAAGAATATATACTTTATGGGGTCGGATATGCCGGTTACATACATTTGTACAAATACATTATACCCTTTGAATGGGTATACCCATATTTATTGGGTTCAGAGTTAATTTAGTTTACGGAGTTACAGAGCTAGAATTTCCTAGTCGAGCAGTCGACTAGAAGTTTGTATGTAAAATTGTATATAAGTCACATAATGTTTGTAGCAACACATTATTTTTAAATTTTTTTATTAATTCATTATTTATTGATTTAATTGATCTTCATCCGCATTCAACATACTTTTGAGTATATCAATTTGAGTATTGATTATAGCTCCAATTATATAAATCCGTTCCTGTTTCCGCCTAAATTGCTCCAGTTCCAAAGTTAAATCAAACTGAGTTATTTTTTTCTCAACAACAAATGTGTTGTCACTCTCCGCTTTTTGCCTGTATTTCCCAAGCAATTCCAAATCCCGTTTAATGTTTTCAGAAACAGTTTTGTTATTACGATGATAATATTTACGAAAAATATGAAACTTTTGCCACCACAAAACATAAGGAATGCACTCAGCATACATAAATTGAAAAATGCTTATGCGACGTACAGACCGTGAATCCCTCTGGTCCTTTGCAGTGGAAAAATAGTCATTGATGAGAGATACGAAAACATTTATCAACATCACTGAAATAACGAATGCCAAGATTGTAAACATGATAATGCCGAAAAGCTTGCCTCCATGAAAAAGATCTTCTGGATTAACACCCAAACTAAATCCACATGCGAAGCACATGCAAGAGACGACACTCTTGCTGAGCCGATAAAAGTTGAAACTGTTGTTGCCATTTATTGTAGAAACTGCCACCCCAAAGCCCAAAATAAAAACGAATATGACCATGGCAACACTCGCCACTGCTGCCCATGCAAGGTGCAGTGTAAAGGTAAAGAGTTGAAAGACACTGGAGAATTGTAGCACCTTCCACAAACGCAAGGTTGTAATGCAGATAAGAAAGCCAATAATCACTCTGATGAACATGTGCAAGCGAGCTGCATGTCTTAACTCAACAAACTCCATTTTACTGGCGCCCTCAATATACTTAAGAATCGACGAGACTTTCTCTTTACGTAAGATAATCAAAGTTAACAAGATGACGTTAAGCAGAAATATTCCCACGTCTATTTTGTTCCACACGCTACGAATTTCGCTTGGCTCTAACCACAACTTCACCGTTAATGCTTTAAAAAACTGTATAAACACAATGACATAAACAATAATCAAGACTATTTCCTCATCTGATAGCTGGTTATTTTCAAGTAGTGTCACGCTCTCAACTTTCACATGAGGGATTGTGCTTCCAAAGGGAGTCTGCTCTACACGCAAGGTGCATACATTCAATATGTTTGCGTCAGTGTTGTACAGTAAAAAGTCCAGAAATACCGCCGAAGTGTTGTAATTGAGCCATTTGGTGTCCTGAAGGTATTCTAGTATTTTGAGACTATTCTGTCGACTCCGAGCAAATAATACTACATATCCTTTTAGCTCGGGGTAGTTACGAAAATAACCTACATGTTCAAAGTTCAGCCAAAGGTGTTCACGAACGTTCGGATTTCTGTGAACCCATGGCTCGTAGATGCGCCAATAAATATTAGAATAAGGCAAGTCCAGGTATGGTAATTTCCACTCAGGCATATAAGATTGCTCTGAGAAGGCCGGTTCATAAACACCATAATGTTGCTCGGTCAGTCGCAATTGGCGTAGCCGCACAACTCCAAGTAGGATTGTTTGCTTGCCGTGGACCCATACCGATACACCAGTATGGTTAATTTCAGGATGAAATGCATTTATCAGCGAGGTATTAATGAATTTATACACATCGCATATATCATAAACTTCTTTCAAACCATAGTAAACAGAATGATTATCAGTGAAGAGCCTCTCTATGTTATTTTTAGTATGATACGTATGTTCATCGCAGGCTACAAATACTAAGCACACAACAAAAACAAAGTACCTTCCATAAAGCCACAGATCATGTGCTATTTGCTTGTACTTGCAATTGAGCTTCTCGTCACGATGGTTTTCCGTTATAAAGAGATGAGCACGTAGGCTTTGCAACCGCAACGTCAAATAATCTAGGCGATTGTGATGAGTGGCTTCCCAATCCGTTGCGAACTTGCGCTGACCCGGTGGCCAAATGGAGGCCTCAAGTGAGAGTAATGCAAACCTGATTGGATCACCGAATAGGTAGTGAAACATTAGCACCGCAAAGACGGTAATCAGCATTGACCTTAACTTTCCCGAGGAATGATAGTATCCGGAAAATATTGACATCGTTACCATGCACACTATTAATACAAATACTGTGGTCCAAAATAATTCAGAATGAGTTTTCTTTTCTGCCATAATGTGTATTTTGTTTTCGGAATGGAAAGCTAATGAACTGTTTTGTATTAATAAATATTTCAAATATTTTTGACATTCATGAAATTTTCATGCTTTTTTAAGATTTCCAGTATGTACAATTCTGTGAGAAATCAATTTTTATGTGGCTAAGCAGCTATCGAGCAACTTTGCTTCGAGTTACTTAGCAATTTTTATATTTGCCCTCTACATCTGTTAAATCACCTACGCCTCTTTTGGCCGTGCCTGGCAACTTATATTTATCCCCAATGCTTCCCCAAGCGATTGTCCGAATATCATCCCTTGGAGTAGATCCAGTAGGCCCTATATTAGAACCTGTCCCAACCAGCGAAGCTGCTTCAGCACCCTCATCTTGTCGCCCCAATCGAGCCCAGATTGTTAAAAGCAATCATGGTGTCTCTTTAGCCCCACCAACTCCTGTTTTATCCTCAGCCCCATCAGCTTATATTTTGACTGTTGTTGGCCCTCGTATCTCTGTATTTGTATCTCTGCTTTCGTCTGACACCACTTGCGATTCACTGGCTGCTTATATTGCTAGCAAATCTTCTGCTAGCATGTCAATAACTAAATTTATTTTCTACAACCCTCTTGAAATAGCATCATTAAAAATTAATGTTTCACATGATTCGTTCCCAATCATTTGTGATCCTAAATTTTGGTCTCCTCACATGATTGTTCAGGAGTCTGGGCAGATAAAGCGAAAGCAGCCTTTCCTGTCACCCTTCCGGTCCCTTCGATACAAGGTCCTACCGTTACTGCCACAAAAAACTAACTTCGTCGGAACCTAGTTTCTATTCTATATCAGAATTTCAGAGGTCGCATTTCTAAAGTTAAAAATATTTTTATGGCTAGAACTTTCTTCGAAACGGATATAATCGCATTTTCAGAAACATGGTTAAATTCAATCTTATCTGATTTTGAAGTATTTTCCAACAATTTCATTGTACTTAGAAATGATCGGCCGACTCGAAGTGTAGGGGTATTAAATGCCGTTAAAGCCACTCTCCATTCACAACCTTTCTGTTTTACTACGCCTACTGACGCTGATATTGTCTAAGTTAAGGTGACTTTTCCATCACGCTATGTTTATATCACATGCTCCTATGTTCCTCTTTCTTCTGATATTGAAGTTTATATAAAACATATTACTTGTATTACACAGGTGCGTGATAATGACCTATTTGTAGTGTTACGTGATTTTAGTTTACCGAACATCTCTTGGTCATTATTCACTGCCGAAAATTATCTAGTACCTTCAGCACAGCATAACTGTATATTTGCAATGTTCAATAGCAATCCTCTTATTTCTCATTCACCAACTCCCAATAAGCCCCGCCATTGCTTTCGCAAAAGAAACTATTCCTTGCTTAATCAACGTATTCATACAACTGATTGGTCTTTTTTATATGACTCGGTTGATATGAATATTGCTATTAATTACACCCTGAACCTATTGAAAATGGAAAATGGTACCCTGTTTCCAAGTAATCGTTAAAAATCGATATCGAAATCCTGTTTTTTAAGCAATTTTGGTAAATAATAAGAGCTAGTCACCAAACTTGACATGTAACTTCTAGAATAGCATATATGTATATATCAAGTATCTTTCATTTTATAGCTATCACCACCTCCCCGCTACCTATAAATCAAGTAAAGAAACCAATATATACTGCCAACTCATATTTGCTACAATTTAAATGCAATTGTCATTTTGAGAATACACGAATATTCTATAGCATAATAAGACCTACTGAAGCAAATTTCATGTCTTGCTGAAAGATCCAGTCATCTCCGTGCAAGTCACCCGCAAACTCAATCAGCTCATTCTCCAAGAGCTCTACATATGTATATGTCTACATATGCTATATCCAATAGCTGCCCAAATCATCAGCGAACCGCCACCATGATTCCGCTTATGTCGAGTCTGCCGCGGTTGTCTTAAATCGCGCCAATACTTATGGCAACCGTCTGGACCATCCAAATTGATGGATTATTCTCACCCGAAAAAATTACATTATGGAATTCATGGGTCCAGATATTATATTTCGGTCTGCCGCAGCGCTTAATATTACCGTAATTGTCGACATTCTTGAGAAAGTTGGTAATCGTATTTCTATGTCGATTTACTCTTTTAGCAATTTCTGCAATTGTGGTGCCGGCTTCCTGCAAGCCCCTTATCAAACCTCGCTCCTCTTCCGATAAATGCATTCCACGTGGCATTTTAAATGAATAATAACAAATTAAACGTTAATTTATTGAAAGGTATATTGTCCGAACCTATTTCCTACTCTTAAAAATGTTTTTTATATTGAATTACATATGTATGTATGTATATCTCCCCGACGTTATACTTCTCTTGCTAACACGAAATTCCACACAAAAACTCACATTTGCACATATACAGTATGTCAATAAAGTGTTTTTACTAACGAAAAAAAAACTAATTTTTTGGGTTTAGTTGAAAATAAATGTACCTAAAAGTGAGAATTTTTTTTCAATTATAATTTATTATAATTATAATGGCAAAAAAATTGTTAAATAACATTACCCAAACATTTTATAGAATTAAAAAACTAAAAACATTCAAATTTTATGCTGTCAATAAAGTGTTTTTACACGAAACTTTATTACTAAATAACAATGTTAAAAAAACAGGAATATTTTTTTTTAATATTTTGTGTGGCTGCCATTAGCGTCACATACTGCCTGACATGCATTCATATGTGAATACAAATTTGGAATAGGTCGTGCATGATCAGCGCTAAATTTATTTCTTCACCAGCCAAAGCCAAGGCAGTGAATAACAACACATATACATATGTACATATACATATTTTAATATAGTTATGCATGCATAATTTACACATACAAACATAGGTGCTTGCACGCCATTGACGGAACAAGAATTTCTCTCAAGCATACACTGTCCAAAATCAAAAGTGAAATAAATCGATGTGTGACATTTTCTTAACATAGTTATTGCAGAAGTTGCGAATTGTAAAAAATTATTTTATTCTTAATTTTTCCTGCAAAATTTATAGTTAGTATCTAGGGTAATGTATCATTTGAATAAAGCATGCATTTCATGAATAAAGCAGAAGTACTTTGCGTCGATCGTAAGTTTAAAACTTTTCGCTCAATGTACTTCCAAAAAAGAAAGCGACGCAAAGCACCATCGACCAGCTTTGCTGAAGGCAGGCTGGCGACTAACTTCGTTGCTCGGGTCAGCATCAGCAAACCGCGACTTCGGCATTCGTTCGTCTGGCTTTTAGAGAAACTCAAACGCCAGATGAAACGCCAGGCATGAAATTTTTCGTCGCATGCAAATGTATGGGCGTTACTCATCTTAGTGTTAATATTGTCTTTGGTTCAGGGTATCCCCTAATCGTGAGCTCCAGACTAGAGCCTATTACTTGTTTTTTTATCACCCTGAACTCCCTCTTAAATGTTTGTATTCCAAACTCAATTCCTTCGATTGCTTCTGCAAAACCATCGTGGCTTACTCCCAAACTATCAATCCTAAAAAATATTAAGTCTAAATATTGATAAAAATTTAATAAGACTGGATCGAGTTGGACCTTGCAAAATACTCTACAGCAAAGTCGAACTTTTTTTTCTGAATTCTCAGTGCTATGAGAATTATCTTACTCGTTGCAAAAGGTAATTTGACCAAAATCCGAGAGTTTTAAATTTTGGAATATTGAAGCGTAAATCTTCAAGTTTGCAATCTTCCTTTTTTCTTGTGAGTAATAATTCGAACCCTTATAATATTACTTCCTCTAGCTCTATACTTCCTCCTATTATTTCCCATTCATCTCTCCTTCCTGCTATAAATTCTTTAAAATCCTCTTACTCTCCTAGGCCTGACAATATTCCAAATTGTCTTCTCAATTTGTCCATTGATAAAGCTTTTTAATCTATGCTTTGAATCTTCTATCTTTCCAAATCTTTGAAAAGAATCTTATATAACTCCTCTCCACAAGAATGGTGAAAAGTCTGATATACAAAATTACAGGGGCAATGCAAAACTGTCGGCTGGCTATTCCTCAATTATTTGAAAAATAATCACTTTGAATTTGCAGCATTTCTGCAAATCAGTTGTCTCCCCTGTTCAATATGGATTCGTAAATAATCGGTCAACTAAGACCAATCTATTAGAATTTTCTTCCTTGGTTAATGATGCTTTCCTTTCTAAAATGCAAACTGCTGTCATTAATACTGACTTCACTTAGGCGTTTGACTCTGTGCACCATGATATTTTACTTCTTAAACTTGACCGACTAGGTTTCCCTCCGGGTCTTTTGCTTTGAATTAGTTCTTATTTAAAAGGTAGAACCCAAAGAGTAATACTGAAGCAGACTACCTCTAAATAGGTTCACGTTACTTCTGGTGTTACAGTTAAGGATCTAGGCGTTCTTTTTGATTCTAAACTCAGCTTCAATCTGAATATAGATACCATCGTTAATGAGGCAAAAGGTGTACTTGGATTCATTAAACGCTGGTCTACAGAGTTTAACGAACCTTTTATTACGAAATTTCTGTATATCTCTCTGGTTCGCCCTATCCTTGAGTACTGCTCTTGCATCTGGTCTCCGCAGTACAACAATAGCCAGGATCATATTGAATCTGTTCAGAAGCAATTTCTGCTTTTTGGCTTACGAGGTTTAAATTGGGACCCTAATCTTCGGTTACCTCCTACTCCAGCAGGCTGATTCTTCTTAATTTTCCGTCGTTAACCAATCGTAGGAAAATTCTCGGTGTTGTTTTCCTACATAGGTTGATTGTTGGCGATATAGATTATCATTTTCTGTTGGGGCGTCTTCAATTCTCTGTTCCGTCTACATCTACAAGGAAATTTCGCCCCCTTTTCCTACCAACGTGCATAACAGACTACTCTATGCACAATCCTTTTCGCGTGTTATGAAAAATAACAATACTTTACATCACGTTTTCTCTACCGAACTTTCTCTACCCCTTATAAAATCGTTGCTTTCAGGATACCTTCGGGAACTCATTGACTATTCCCAGCTATGAGTA